CTGATTAATTGATTTCTTCAGCTTGACATAAAATTTGTCAAATTTTGAGCCTTATATTTGTGTAGCCCCCGACTCTTTGGTTAGTTGGGAAACAACTGAACATAGAGTCGAGAATTATAGCTTCTTGTCGTCGAGTAGTCATTGCTTGATTGAAGATATGTGTTGAAGGTGTCCAAGTAGAAATCCTGAATATTGGAGAGTCACTTGTTGTAGTAAAATATCATGGCATTGCATGCCGAGATGTCGAGGTTCACAAAGACGTCGTGGTTGGTGAAGTAGTAAAACTTGCGAAGTAGCAGCAATAGAGTTTGCCAGTGCCGAAGATAATAAAGATGAAGTCGCTCCACCATGATGACAAAGTCGCATCGCCGTGATAAAGTGAACACGAGTCGGCGGCAACAGAAGCAAACTGGTAGCGAAGACGCGCAGTTGTGAAGATAAAAGCACTAGTCGGCGGCGGCATAACCAGTCGGCAACGGAAGACGATGATGTCCATCAGTAGTGATAGCTGTATAAACCAGACGTAGAGGTGAGGGCACTAGTCAGCAGCAGACGAGATGACCGGCGGTGAAGAAGATAAGGCCAATCAACACTGGCAGAATCATGCAGCCATGGAAGTGAAGAAACCAGTCGGCAGCCATGGCAAACGTAGGCAGCTTGTGTTGACGATACTGATGCCTATTAGTAGTGACAGCGATGTAGCCAGCCGTGAAGAAGGTAGCATCAGTTGGCGTTATAACAGGCCAGCCGTGCAGGCGGTGACACCAGTCAGCGGCGGATGCGGCGGCCGGTCGGTGAAGACGTAGACGCCCAACAACGGCAGCATAATAAGTCTGCCGTGCAGGCGGAAGCACCAATCGGTAGCGGCGAAGGCAAGCCGGTCGGTGAAGACGTAGACGCCCAACAACGGCGGCATAAAGGCTAGCCGTGCAGGCGGAAACACCAATTGGCGGCGGCGAAGGCAAGCCGGTCGGTGAAGACGTAGGCGCCCAACAGCGGCGGCATAATAGGCCAGCCGTGCAGGCGTGGACACCAGTCGGCGGCGACGAAGGCGAGCCGGTCGGTGAAGACGTAGGCGCCCAACAACGGCGGCATAATAGGCCAGCCGTGCAGGCGAGGACACCAGTCGGCGGCGGCGAAGGCAAGCCGGTCGGTGAAGACGTAGGCGCCCAACAACGGCGGCATAATAGGCCAGCCGTGCAGGCGAGGACACCAGTCGGCGGCGGCGAAGGCGAGCCGGTCGGTGAAGACGTAGGCGCCCAACAGCGGCGGCATAATAGGCCAGCCGTGCAGGCGTGGACACCAGTCGGCGGCGACGAAGGCGAGCCGGTCGGTGAAGACGTAGGCGCCCAACAACGGCGGCATAATAGGCCAGCCGTGCAGGCGAGGACACCAGTCGGCGGCGACGAAGGCGAGCCGGTCGGTGAAGACGTAGGCGCCCAACAACGGCGCCATAATAGGCCAGCCGTACAGGCGAGGACACCAGTCGGCGGCGACGAAGGCGAGCCGGTCGGTGAAGACGTAGGCGCCCAACAACGGCGGCATAATAGGCCAGCCGTGCAGGCGAGGACACCAGTCGGCGGCGGACGAGGCGGCCGGTCGGTGAAGACGTAGACGCCCAACAACGGCGGCATAAAGGCCAGCCGTGCAGGCGGAAACACCAGTCGGCAGCGGCGAAGGCAAGCCGGTCGGTGAAGACGTAGACGCCCAACAACGGCGGCATAAAGGCCAGCCGTGCAGGCGGAAACACCAGTCGGCGGCGGCGAAGGCAAGCCGGTCGGTGAAGACGTAGACGCCCAACAACGGCAGCATAATAGGCCAGCCGTGCAGGCGGAAACACCAGTCGGCGGCGGTCGAGGCGAGCCGGTGGTGATGTTCTGACTGATCCATTCCTGGAGCGTAAGAGATAAGCTTAAAGCCATGAATCCCTTTTATGCATATCTGGATCTGGATCCTGCAGAACAAACATATAGGATGAGTAGTATCTGATATAAATATAATACTCGAGAAAAGTTCAAGCAGTTTATAAATACGTATTTCTTCTCTTGTTAATTTTGATTTCCCCGAGCAGATGACTCATTACGTTTAAACACTCTGCCCGACTAGTCATAGCCACCAAGCACTGGGAGTCGGCCTAAGCACTTCCCAAACATGCATATGAGTGACATGAGTTCGTCATTAATGGAACAAAGTTTCACGGATCGGAGTTTACTACTCGGGTACTTTTGCAATTATTAAGAGCAGAAAATAAATTTATCTCATCTCTATGCTTTTGATTTATTCCGAATAATACTTAGCACCTTGCGTTACTCGGTCCATCCAACGAGCCCCCGGGTGCTAGGAATCGGCCCAAAGGCAACCATCCATTGGCAAACCAAACGGAAAGCATAGGAAGATAGAACTCCATAACTCGATAGGTACTTTTGTACTCAGATTATGTCGCAAGCAATCAAGATAAATATTATGAAAAATATGATATAACATCTGTAGCCCCCGACTCACTACTCAATGGAAGACCAATTGGTGTAGTGAGGCAGAGGAAAAGGAAAAATATCATATAAAGAATAAAATAAATGATGACTTAGCTTTGTAATATTCCCCTTGGTGATGGCAGAAGTGGCCAATGTGGGAACAAAGTCGTCCATCAATAACAATGAAGACACCAGTCGGCGGCGACGAAGGCGGTCGACGGTGAAAGCGAAGATGCCCACTAATGGCGGCATGATAGGTCAGCCGTGTAAGCGGAAACACCAGTCGACGGCAACGAAGGTGAGCCAACGGTGAGGATGTAGACATCCAACAACGGCGGCATAATAGGCCAGCCGTGTAGGCGGAGGCACCACTCGGCGGCGACGGAGGCAGGCCGGCGGTGAAGTCGTAGACGCCCAACAGCGGCGGCATAATAGGCCAGCCGTGTAGACGGAGGCACCAATCGGCGGCGACGGAGGCAGGCCGGTGGTGAAGACGTAGACGCCCAACAACGGTGGTGTGACCAACCAACCATATAGGCGAAGACACCAGTCGGCGGCGACGGAGGCAGGCCGGCGGTGAAGATGTAGACGCCCAACAACGGCGGCATAATAGGCCTGCCGTGTAGACGGAGGCACCAATCGGCGGCGACGGAGGCAGGCCGGCGGTGAAGATGTAGACGCCCAACAACGGTGGCATAATAGGCCAGCCGTGTAGGCGGAGGCACCAATCGGCGGCGACGGAGGCAGGCCGGCGGTGAAGATGTAGACGCCCAACAACGGTGGTGTGACCAACCAACCATATAGGCGAAGACACCAGTCGGCGGCGACGGAGGCAGGCCGGCGGTGAAGATGTAGACGCCCAACAACGGCGGCATAATAGGCCAGCCGTGTAGACGGAGGCACCAATCGGCGGCGACGGAGGCAGGCCGGCGGTGAAGATGTAGACGCCCAACAACGGTAGCATAATAGGCCAGCCGTGTAGGCGGAGGCACCAATCGGCGGCGACGGAGGCAGGCCGGCGGTGAAGATGTAGACGCCCAACAACGGTGGTGTGACCAACCAACCATATAGGCGAAGACACCAGTCGGCGGCGACGGAGGCAGGCCGGCGGTGAAGATGTAGACGCCCAACAACGGCGGCATAATAGGCCAGCCGTGTAGACGGAGGCACCAATCGGCGGCGACGGAGGCAGGCCGGCGGTGAAGATGTAGACGCCCAACAACGGTGGCATAATAGGCCAGCCGTGTAGGCGGAGGCACCAATCGGCGGCGACGGAGGCAGGCCGGCGGTGAAGATGTAGACGCCCAACAACGGTGGTGTGACCAACCAACCATATAGGCGAAGACACCAGTCGGCGGCGACGGAGGCAGGCCGGCGGTGAAGTCGTTGTTGTTATCAGCAGTGGCGGTGGCGAAGACAAGCCGGCAGAGTGGACTCGCGGCCGATTGACCGGAAAGCTGAGACGCCTCGAGTCCATGACCAGCATCAATCGCCTCAATAGTGCCGCGTAATTATATGCGAACAACAACAAAAAATAGCAAGAGATTAATCTGAGATTAAAAATCAATATGATAAATAATGATAAAAATCAGATTGAGTTTCCCCCTGACTGATTTGGATCAAGTCAGAGAAGAGGAGCTTGAAGAAGTGGTCGACGGAAAGGAAGTGAAAACTCCCAAAGCGAAAGCGAAGTCGGCGACTCATGAAATTGATTCCATCGCGCTCGTTGATAGGAAACTCGACGCAACCCCTACCTGGCGCGCCAACTGTCGAAACATGAATTCGGCAATAATAAAACGGGGTAGCGCACGAGACCTAAAAGTGGATGGATGCAGAGACAAAGGATTTAGACAGGTTCAGGCCCTCTCAATGAGAGGTAATACCCTACTCCTGTTTGGGGATTTGAATCCGCCGAGTGTGTATTGATCTGACGATCAGGTTGTCTCATATATGCCCCCTAGAGGGCCTCCTGCCCACCTTATATAGGATGGGGGGCAGGATTATAAGATAGAAACCTTAACCAATACGGTATCGGTTTCCTAAATCAGGACTTTAGGCCGTTCCGTAATATACAAGGAAACGTAACACCCAAGTCATGATCTGTTACATATTACATAGATATAAGTTATCCCCTATAACCAGTCGGATAACCATGCCGTGTGGGTATGGGGTACCCATAATCTCCACACCTAGTCTCATCAAACAACCCAATTTGAATTTTGCTCCTATGGATATTTGAACTCAGGACTTTGGGGTGCTACTCGGGTCACTGCAACCACTAGGCTATGCTCTTTCGCTTAATAGGCACGAGCAAAATTGAAAGTTTAAATCTAAATTTTGGAGTTAATTTTGATGTTTTCTTATCATTGTTTGTTATTTAACATTGTCTTTCAAATCGCTAAGAAATTAAACACAAAAATTTCACCTATAAATTATTTTTGTCGCTAATGTTATGACTCATAATCAGCTATAGGTAATACGATGGGTGCACACGATGCCAACGTACTAGCAATTTCGAAAGCCACTTAGTTTTGACAAACGAACAACATTAGCATAGTATTAGACAGTACATATATAGCATAATTTTAGAAGCCCACATGAACTGGTATACATAGAGAAACGACGCATGGCACGATATACAATCTAAAGCAGCAGGGTAATTAATTGACCACGCATTAGTTAGGCCGCCCCGTTGCTATATATAAACACGTATTAATTTAATTTATATGCTTAACTACATATTAATATCATCATAATCCATCGTCCATTTGACACGCCGCCGCCTGGCTGCAGGTTTGTGCGCAGGCGATCGATGATCGATCGATCTAGACGAGGGAGAATGGCAAGGGGATGATGTTGAGGATCTCGCCGAGGAGGCCACTGAGGATCTGCGTGATGAGGGTGATGAGGCCGCCGAGCCCTCCGAGGCCACCGGTGCCGCCGAGGAGCTGCACCGGCGCCGTGAGCGTCCCGGCGACGGCGGCCAGGGACGCGTCGCACGCCGCCAGCGGGGTGGTCACCACCACCTTGCACTGGTTCCCGGCCATGGCCATGAGCATCGTCGCGTTGAGCGCGCCCATGTTGATGGTGAACGCCCCCGTGCCGTCCGCCGTCGCGCCGCCCACCACCCTGCCGCCGCACACCATCTGCACGCCGGCGTCTGGGCGCCGTGGAGCGCGCAATGCAAAAGAAGTTAATTAACAAACAAGCAGCAATCATGTAACCGAAATTAAGGCAGGCATGGAGACACTGCTCTTACCGGGGAACGCGGGGACCGACGCGGCGTTGATGGAGCTCCCGGCGCTGCACGGGACTACGCCGGTGACGAGGCCCGTGACAGCCCTACCCGCCGCGGCCTCGGAGCCGTGCGGCGCGACGATGCCGACCGCGGTGGCGGCCACGACGAGGACGAGGAGAAGGTTCTTGGACGTCGGCGCTGCCATTGCTAGCTGTGATCGATCGAGATCGAACGAATGCCTATCTCTCTCTCACACACACACGCTCTAGATATCTCTTCTCTGTGAATATACTCTTATCTTGAGCTCACTGAGACTGTGTGTGCTGATGCTGCTGCATGAGCGAAAGCGCACCATTTATAGGCGCGCGCACGCGCGCAGGCTCCGATCTTATTTTTTTTCCAAAAAATAAACTCACAGTACCGCGCGTGGCGAAGCGAGCTATCACGCTAGTAGGGGACTAGCGGTGCAAGCAGGTAGACCCGTAAATTCACTTATAGGCCATGTTTAGTCTTTCTCCTATTCTTAACTTTCCATTATATTATATCACATCAAAAACTTTTTCTAAATACATACTTTTAACTTTTTTTCTAAACTCCCAACTTTCTTCGAACATCTAACTTTTTTCAGAAGCTAAACACACCCATAGTGCAAATAATCGTGTAAGCCCGCGATTATGCGATTCACGGGCCTGCACGCTTGCACCATTACGCGCTAGGCTTCGCGCGGCCGTGCCCCGTGCGCGCGCGCGTGCTCGCAGTGATCAAGCGGGACACGCCGCCGTCGTCCGCGTCGGACAATCTGGCCGGCCTTGCCATGCGAGAGCGAGAATGGTCCGGAATGCAGTAGCTAGCCCAGTACTGCATCCCCGCACGCAGCTAGCGAGAATCGCGATCAAGTTGACGGACCGACATGCAGAGCGCGGGCCTGGTAGTGGTGGCAGCTATCGTGCATCCTGTGCATCACGCAGTAGATGCCAAAGAAGAGTTTTTCGAGCGAGACGATCGAGAGATTATGATATCATCATTGCCAAATGATGATCGATGATGAACAGCAACCAAGTGATCAATTAGTGGATGGCGCCATCGATCGGGATCAAAGTGTTACGGTTTGATTTTACTTATTACTACTCTGATTCTTAACCTAAATATGATCACCTCTACTTATAACACGGAAATTATTTGTTCATTTGATTCAAACTCTATTATGTAGTACCTATCATACAAAAAAAAATCAATTATCGACCGTGAATCGATAAAAAATCAATTGTTGTTAGTTTTGCGTGTAGAGTGCTGTAGAGAGGCTAGTAGTACTTGGCTGGCTAGCTTGTGGAAGGTTGCGCGCGCGTGCGAAGAGGCGCTGGCAACTCGCGGCCGGCGTGCTCCGATCCATCGACGCCTAGCTAGCAGCGCAAGAGGATGGGAGAGAGCTACGGAGACGTGCGTCCTTGTCGAGTTATTCACCAACGCCATGCTCTCTTGTTAACCACCTTTTCAACTACGGAGATGCCGCTGAAAAAGAGGAGAGGGGACCGAAATCTCCAAAAGCGTTAGCAATGATGAGGGGAATAATGTGCATCGTCCGTTACCCCCCTTGATCACAAAACCCGCATAGAAACAGTAACTGCGTATACATGAATACAGTGTTGTCTTTTCTTTTTCAGCAAACAACATCATTAGCATGAAAATAAAGGGAACAATTGTGCAAATTCCTAACCTCTCCAACCTGCTTTCATGATTCATGTACTGGTGATTCGTGCAAATTCATTTTTCTCCATGTCCCCCGACAATGGCTCTATGAGTGGTTGAGTGTATAATTGAACTCTCCTTCTATTTATTGACGTGCAATCATTTTGAACGTTAGCAAAAAAAAAAAAAACAGTCATTAACATATGGGACCAGACTAGATCTACATGTCAAGAATAATAGGGAGATAACTAGTGAGGGAGCTTCATTACATGTGGGGCCCACATGTCATGGCCGAAGGGGAGAAGATGGGAGGAAGAAGAAAGCGGGAGAGAGGATGACATGTGGGCCCTACAATTTTTTATGTGTGTGAATGACAAACGGGACCCACATATATGTTTTTAATTGAAATGCCACCTAAGCGCCACGTCAACACCACAGACTAGGTCAACATCGCCACGTCAGTGAAACCGCCCTCCAAAATCGCTAAGGGAGTTAAATTGTACCAGTTTCAATAGTTTGGGGGTCGAGATATTCGGTTCTGTGGTTTAGGGTCATGGATTAGATTCGGGTCACTATTTAAAGGGAGTCAAAGTGAACTTATTCCGTGTCAAAAACAAGAACACTCGTGGGCCACAGTTCTGCGCACTTTCGAATGAAATTGCGTGCAAGTATGGGCTGAAACCACTCCCACTCATGGGCTGAATTTCCTCGCATGTATAGGCTGAAAGGAATAAGTTCACCAGAGGTCTCTCAACTTAACAGCGAGATTTTTTTAGTCCCTTAACCACAAAACCAGAAATGTCTACCCCTAAACTTACTCAAACCGTTCACCGGAGGTCCCTCGGCAGTATTTTTGCCCGGTTTTGCTAACGTGGCATCCTAGTCAGCAAAAAAAAATTAAAAAAGTACGTGGGGCCCACATGTCAGCTGCACATATTTTTTCTTCTCTTTTCTTCTCCCTCTCTTCTCTTTTCTCTTCTCTCCTCTCTCTTCTCCTTCAGGCTGGCGGCGGGCGCAGCCGCGATGGCCGAGCGCGGATGCGGGCGGCCGGCGAGCGCGGCAGCAGAGCGGTGGCGGGCTGTGGGCTGAGCGGACGGCGGGCGAGCCCGGCGGCGGAGCGAAGGCAGTGAAGCGCGGCGGCGGAGCGGAGGCTACGGGCGGAGCAGCTGCGCGCCGTGGCCGCCATCGTCGTCGCCATGGGCGAGGCTACACGGCGCGGCCGTTCGGCGGCATCGGCCAGGCGTCGCAGTGGCCGTGCATAGGTGGCTCGAAGTGCCGGCTGACGATGCACCCCAGTCGCTCGCGCTCCTCCTGTGCCGCGGCAGCGGCAGTGGTGGCAGCGGCAGCGTCGCCGGCCTGATCCCATGGTCCTCCCGGACGCCCAGCTTGCGCAGCTGCAGCAGGAGCGTGTCCACGCTCGGCGTGCCATCGGCGTCGTGGACGGTGGTCGGCGCAGGCGCGGTGACCCTCGTCATCTTCGCCGACGTCGCAGTAGCACTTGACGTCGTAGCTCATACGCATATACATCGGGTACAGACGGCCGCATGTACATGCGTCTTCGTACGAGCATATATATGCATGCATGGAGACGACCAGCTATCGGAAAGTCTTTTCAGCACCTAGGTGCTGCGGCACCTAGACTAGAAACCACACGATGGTTTAAAGATTTGTGCGTCAAATAGTATACATAGAAGTTAGGATTGTATTTTCTTTATTTTGGGCGCACGCTCGAAATACAGCGCTGGCCCACCTGAGGATTCGTATGTGGGTGTGGGCCTGTGGGGTGGGGGGAGGGGACCAATACGTGTGTACGACACCTCCTCTTCTCGTCCACATCCTTAGAGTCATCGGGACCGAATCGCCACCCGCCAGCCGCCGCCAGCCGGCCGCATCCCCGTTGCATCTTCCTTTGGCGGAAGCGGCACTCCATCCAGTCTCGCCGAGCCTTCGGCCGAGGACTTCCATCAGGTAGCTCTAGGAATCCCCTCTTCCCCAACCCCCCGCTGCCCCCATCCCCCGTCCCCTCCTCCATATCACCCTCCTTGAGTCATCGTACTGGACTCCGACGAGCTTCCATCGCCGCACATGGAGGCCCTGCTGCCTACGGCGGCTGCGCGAAGCCTCCCGTGGCAAGAGTTGCCTCCGCGCACAGACGCCGGCGAGCTATCGCGGGCCAGCAAACAAGTTATACCGCCCCGTTCGCCATTCTTGAGCTTCTTGAAGTGCAGTTCTTCATCCGTGCTGTGAGCGGACGCCGGCGAGACGACACGAGCTGAGCCGAGGCAACAATACGTTAAGGTCAGCAAAACAATCGATGTTTTCTTCTCCCCTGCCGCACAAGCACACATTCTTTCGTCGCCGCCGCCACGGATGAACTCCAGTGCTTTCAATTCTTCAGCAAACGGCGAACGATTTTGTCCATGGTTGTTTTTTTCCCTAAATTTTGCTGGAGGAAAGAAAGAAACCACACCAGATCTGTTTTTTTTTTTGCACATTTTTTTTAGATCAAAGGCTTCACGCCCGGCTTTACTGAGATAAAGGCTTCACATTTTTTTTTTTGCACATTCTGATCTACTGAAATGATTTTTCAATTTCTTTTGCATGTTTTATATTCTCATTACATGTTTTGGGGGGAGATTGGCAGGTCTTGAGAAGAGTGGTTTACACCAACGGATCCATGCAACAATGCTAGCAGAAGCTGAGTAGCCCATAGGCCATGGCGGCGACGAAGACTGTTTTTTTTTTTTTTGTCATGGAAGAACTAACACCCCTTTTCTATTCTTTTTTATAAAAATTAATGATTATAATTAAGACCAAAAGAGCCAATTTTTGGGATGAGGAAAATTGGTTCAAACTTCAAACCAAATACCTCTTGCTTCTTTTTGTCTTTTTGGGATGTAACTTCATCTAAGATTTCCGATATTTTTCCTCTGTCGAATACTTTTAATAGCAAGAATGTATAGAAAAGCTGAATAAGATACAAAAATTTGGGGACACTATGGACACACTGCAGAAAGTTGCAAACTTTGTCATTTAACTAGCTTTTGTTCAGGTAGGAGGAACTAGGATGTACTGATGATTGAACAAGCAGCTGCAATAGCTACTCCAATGGTATGAGATGTTGCTTTGCGCCTACATCCATTAGTATGTTAAGCGCGGCCATTTGAGGTGTCAGCCTAGCATGTATTTTTGTAAAGTGTATTGGCACACTATGGCTGTTGTATAGTATGCACTTATCTGAAAAAGTAACATTTTTGGAGTACATTAGAACAACGATGTGGCTGCGCACAGTGATGTCGCTTGATACAATGCATACAATTTAAACTGTTCTTTTTTCAGTTTAGCTGTTGCGTTCCCTCCCCTATTTCTCTTCCCCTCTCGCTCTCTGATGTTTTTGTTATAGAAAAAAAGTAGAAAGCAAGAGATAGATGTGGTGATCACTGCTCACCACAAGATTTTCTGTTGGCCTGTTTTTTCCCTCTAAAAACAAGATCAGAGTACAGTCTTCTCCACGAATAAGGTGGACAAACATTCAAAATGAATTTGTTTCGTTTTGAAACAAAATCAGTGCAATGCTCCCCTTGCCTCTTTTTTCATCTTTCAATTGAATTTGTCCCCCCTCTTAGGTGAATGAAATTCATGTGTTGCAATGAAAATTTCACAAAATTGGAGTCACTATGAACACAATGCACAAAGTTGCTATTAGTTGAATTTCCTTTACAAGCATGATTGTTTTTTTATCCAAAAAGAGGGAACAAATCCAATTTTCCTCAGTGCTTCCTTCGGCTCCATGAATTCTGTTTTTAAGAAATGCAACAAAGTTCAAAGGGAGAAATCATCCTGGAGACATGGATTGTACCGAGAACATCGACACTTTTAAGTTGCAAATTGACAGTTACAAAGTTGAGCGAATTGTTTGTCCAGAAAAATCACTCGATATACAACAAAGTTCAAATCCAAGAGAAAAAAAAAATAACACTGAAATCCATGAGAATAATCTGTCTGCTCAAATTAGCAACAACGCAAGCCCAAAAACATCACCATGAAAAATCTTTGTCTTTCGTTCTCTGCGTCAGATAAACAACTGCATCTTAGGGAAAAAAACATGGATCCTTCTCTCTCCTCCATCTCTAAACTCTAAGCACAAGAAAAGAAGAAACTGTGCAGTGTGAGATCTGGCGATACAATGCATCCGAACTAGAATGAACTGTGCAGAGGGACAAATTAGAACATTGAACCGATCTGAAAGTTCTGAACACACACCCAACAGCCAACAAAGGAATACATACACACAGACAAAGAAAAAAATCAAACTTTAACACACAAGAGCACAGATTTACACAAATGCTGCAATATGCGCATGCATCTGTTGCTTGAGTGGATGAAAAAAGACAGCGCAGACAGAAGGGCGACAGGACACACAATTGCCTACCTCCCTGCAACGCCATTAAACAAGCACAACGTCGGGAAGGGAATAAACTGATGGAGAAAGCAAAGTTTTGCTGCACGAAGCTTTGTTCAGGAAACGGAGGAAACAAGAGCTCTGCTGCTGCTTCTTCTTCATTATTTTTCTTCTTCCATTTTTGTCTGTCCTCTCTCGTCTTCTTCTTGTGTCCTCTCTCTCCGTCCTCGAGCGCCTCCTCCGCCTCCTCGCCTCCCGCGGCGTCTTCTCCGAGCACACCTCCTCCCCGCGCCGCTTCTCGCTCACCACCGTCAGCCGCACCCTCGTCCCGGCCGGCGGGGGCCCCTCCGCCGCGTCCTACGCCGACTACGTGCTGCAGCACCACCAGGACGAGCTCGTCCACGCCTGGCCCCTCCTCCACGAGATCGTTCTCGACCCCGCCGGCTCCGAGCCCTTCGCCCGCGCCAACGCCGGCGCCCTCGCCTGCGAGCCGGTGGTGCCGGACACGACGGACGGCAGCACGAGGACGAGGGCGCTGCTGGAGAATGACATCTTCGTCATGGCCACCTACCGGACTCAGGGCAGGGAGCGCTCCGAGGAGGAGTTCCGGCCGTGTTCTCGAACACACCGACGAGGTGTGTGGTCGGTAACAATTGGGAGGGGCAATAATATAGGGGATGGATTCTAATAACTCGAGTGGACGTCCACCCGTTTATTGCATGTCAATTAAATGGCTACAAAAAATTTTTAAAAAATTTGGCAAGATAGATCAATATGTAATATATCACTCCACAAACATGCAAGTTAAAATTTAACTTCTACAAGTTGTAATAAAAATAACAAATTTAACTGTAAATATACATATAGTAATTTGAGTTTTGTTTGTTATTTTTGTTACAATCTATAGAAGTTGAATTTTAACTTGCATGTTTGTGGATTGATACATTACATATTGATCTATCTTATTCATATTTTTTTAATTTTTTTCATAATCATTTAGATGACATACAATAAACGGGTGAACATCCACTCGAGCTGTTAAAATAGTTTCCCAATAATATCTACTATCAAAAAGGCTGGGAGGCGGGACCATACGTTGTAAAAGTAGTTCTTCTGTACCCCCGTATAATGTCTGGTAGATACGGTCACCGCAATATACAGGGAAAACACTTTACATACAGCGCTAATCGTGGGATCCATCCGACGGCATGCAGCTCCCGGCCAGCTATAGCCTAGCTAGCTTCTTGTTGGTTTGCCGCCCGATAACATGCAGACGTATATATTAGCCAAGTATGTGTATATGGCTGAGCACACTGTGCTCACATGTATATATGCCATTACGTGCAGCGGAGGAGCGCGGATGCGGGGGTGCAGCGGAAGGCGAGCGCGGCGGAGGAGCGGCGGCGGGCGAGCGCGGCGGTGGGCAAAGCAGCGGAGGGCGAGCTAGGCGAAGCAGAAGACAGTGGATGGGACGAGGAGCTCCCCCGTGCTCGGCCGCCACCACTGCCGTGCCCCCGCGGGTGGCCGACGATGCTAGGAGAGGCACCACCGGCGGAAGAAGGGGAAGAGGCAGAGGAAGAGATTATTTCTTGGTCGCCGGCCGCCTCCCCCTCCCTCCCAAACTCGCTGGCCGCCGCGCTCGCTCGCCGCCGCTCCGCCGCCGCGCTCGCGCTCCGCTACTCTGTCCGCGGCCTGCTCGCGCTCCACTGCTCAGCCCGCTGCCGCGCTCGCGCCTTCCGCTGCTCTGTTGCCGCGCTCGCCCTCCGCTGCGCCGCCCGCATCCGTGCTCGTCACTTCGCCCGCTGCCTCCGCTCCGCCGCTGCGCTCCGCTGCCTCCGCTCCGCCGCCGGACGGCCGCGCCGCGTAGCCTTGCCCACGGCGATGACGACGGCGGCCACGGCGCGCGGCTGCTCCGCCCGCAGCCTGAAGGAGAAGAGAAGAGAGAGAAAATAAAAGAGAAGAGGAGAGAAGGAGAAAAAAAATGTGAAGCTGACATGTGGGCCCTATGTGTTTTTTAAATTTTTTTTGCTGACTAGGATGCCACGTCAGTAAAACCGGACAAAAATACTGCCGAGAGACCTCCGGTGAACGGTTTGAGTGAGTTTAGGGGTACACATTTTTGGTTTTATGGTTAAGGGACTTCAAAAAATCTCGCTGTTAAGTTGAGGGACCTCCGGTGAACTTATTCTTAGGCTGAAATTACACGCAATCAGATGGAATTTTCGCAGAATAAGTTCACTTTAGGTCCCTCAATTTGAAGATGCATATACGAATTACCATACAGTTTCCGTTCCGTTTCGTTCCAATTGATTCGTAATATTATTATTATCCATGTTATTTCCACGCACATACGTAGCTTGTGCATTTCTTGTACGTACACGTATGTATATACATGCTTGTAGGCATAATGGACTGATCGACCGGTCAGGTTAACTCGGTCAGGCCATGCGGAAGGAGCAGCCGGCGGGCGCGAGGCGGAGGGCGCCGTCGAGCAGCCCGCCGATCAGTGTGCCGCCCTGCTGCACGTCGGACACCAGCCTCCCCGCCGCCGGCAGCCTCGCGTCGCACCTGGCCAGCGGCGTGTCCACAACCAGCTCGCACGCTCCCGCCACCGCCGCCACCGCCGCCAACGCCACGTCCGCCTCCATCGCGAACGACCCGTTCTGGCTCGTCGTCGCGCGGGCCACCGCGCCGCCGCCGCACCGCAGCTCCACCTTCGCGTCTGCATGCACGCACTCCTACAAAAGTGAATTTTTTTAGAGCCCCCATAATTTTTGCAAACTGACCATAATGGTATCTGCAAAAATCGAGCGCTATTTTCATAGACGGCTGCTTAAGACGTCCGTATGGAAAAATCGATTTTCCCATACGGGCCTCTTAAAAGCTCCGCATGTTAAGCGCCCGTATGGAAAAATCGATTTTTCCATACGGGCGTCTTAAGTAACCGCTTGCGAAAATAAAATTAGAAAAATTTGAAACTAGTGTATCTCACTCTTATGAACTTCAAATTGGATGATTCTTTTCCTAAATGTTTCTAAAATCATGCTCTATCATGTTATTGTGTTTTTACTGGTATTGTTTTGGCTATTTTTTCTTTTCAAATTGTTTTATCAATTAAAAATTTGAATGTCAAAACTTCACATAATATTTTGAAGCAGTAAATAATTTCAGCTGAAAAAGTCATCAATAACAAAGTTGTATAACTCGTCAAGATCTATAACTTCTATTTTGGTCATTTCTTCATCCGACCAAGCGATTTGTAAGATGGTTCACAAAATATACATCTCTTATATTTTGTCAGATGAAGAAATGACCAAAATAGAAATTATAGATATTGATGAGTTATACAACTTTGTTATTGATGACTTTTTCAGTTCAAACATTTAGCACTTGTAAATGTTGTTTAAAATTATCATAATTTAAAATTCAAATTCAAACTGTTTAAGCAAAGTCATATAGAAAAATGACCAAAACAAAAGATAAAGATCTTGATAAGTTATACAACTTTGTTGTTGAAAACTTTTCCATTTGAAATCATTTACTACCCAAAAATTATTTGAATTTCTTATATTTTAAAATTCAAGTTTTATATAGTTTAATCAAATTCGGATGGAGAAATGACCAAAATAAAATCGGTAGATATTAATGAGTTCTACAACTTTGTTTTTGATAACTTTTTCACACGAGTTCATTTAGTATAATAAAATTCGATTCGAAGTTTTAATATTTTAAAATTAAATTTTCCCCTCCTCCTTTCAAATTTTTTCATCTCCTCTTCTCTCTCCCCTCCTATCCTGATGTTTTAGGCATAGTTCGTTTAGGGGTGATAGGGGAGATTGGCTCTCGTTTTCCGCGCGCACGCTTTTCAAACTACTAAACGGTGCGTTTTTTGCAAAAAAAATTCTATATGAAAGTTGCTTTAAAAAATCATATTAATCCATTTTTAAAATTTAAAATAGTTAATACTCAATTAATCATGAGCTAATGGCTCACCTCGTTTTGCGTATCTTCCCAATCTCCTCAATCCCTTTCTCCTCAAACACTCCCTTAGTTTTCCCCATCCATATCCTATTCCTATCTCTCCTCTCAGCCTCTCACTCTTTCCTCCTCTCCTCTTTCTCTCTCTCACCGACGGCGAGGCACGGAGCGGGAGCGGCGGCTGCTGCGCGGCGCGGCGGGCGGGAGCAGCACGGCAGTGGCGGGCTCGGCACAGGCGGTGGCGGCCTTCCTCGACCTTCCATCCGGCGTGGCAGCGGCAGGTCTCGGCAATGGCGCTAGCCTCCCTTCACCAACCTCCCATGCGGGCACGGCGACGACGACAGCGGCGGGCGGCGGCGGCAACGGGCACGGTGACGACGACGACAGCGTCTGGATGGCGGGCGCGCAGCGGGCTCGGCACCGGCGGCGGCGGCGGCCTCCCTTCCCCAACCTCCCATCCGGTGCGGCAACAGCGGGGTCGGCAATGGCGGCGGCATCCCTTCCTCGACGGCGGCAGGCACGGTGACGACGACGGCGGATCTGGACGGCGGGCGCCCAGCGATCACGAAGACGGCGGCGGATCTGGACGGCAGCGGTGCCTCCCCCCCCCCTCCTCAACACCGCGGCGGCGTGGGTGGCTCGGCTGCCTCGGGCGGCGCTGCCCTGGGCTGATTCGGTGCCGCCGCCGACGGCGTGCGGTGGGGGCGACGGATCCGGTGACGGCGTGCGGGGGGGGGGGGGGGGGGTGGTGGCGATGGATCTGGCGGCAGGGGTTTTTTTGAATTTTATTATTTTTGTTTGCCAAATTTATTTTTTGCATGCGGCCAGTATAAGGGACGATTTTCGCAAGCGGTTGCACCGGCCGTCATGCAAAAAGAGCGATTTTTGCAGACCTTCTCCGCCATGCCATTTTTGCAAAAAGAGCGCAAGATCAGTATGATCGATCCTATACTGTACTTGGGAATGGCGGCGAGGTGGCGACGTCGATCAGGGTGCCGGTGTTGCACGGCACGACGCCAGCGACGACGAGCCTGCCGAGCTTCCCCTGCGCCGAGGCGGCCTTAAACGCCATTGGTCGTCGTGGTGTTGTCACGTCGACCTGAAGCTCTCTGAACGTAGAAGAGCGAAGCGAATGCGATGCGGTGCGCGAGCTAGCTTCAGCTCCAGCTCCAGCTCGCTCGTTCGTTGGACTCGCTGTCGCTGGCAGTCTGAGACGGGAAGAGGCGCCACGGCCGGCTATTTATAGGCTCCGTTTCAGTTGAGCTTCGGTTATAGTGCTCCACTGTTTTTTCTTTGCTGTAGTAGTGCTCTACTGTGAGTCTGTGATGTACTGATACTAATTGCCAGGTGTGATTTTGTGATGGTGAATTCGCCCTGCCTTTTGGAATTGGAATCGGTCAAGCTAGCTCTGCGCCACACGTATATTTGTCCCTATATAAAATTTTTGAACGAAATTGCACGAGATTGTGCCTGTTTCATTACAAGCTCTGCACCACACATGATCAGGAACTGGTGCGCTTTTAGTTCGGTACATTGTGAGTGAGCATGGAAGGAATTGGAATTGATGTCGGCTAGTGTATGTTCCACCGAGACAACGGCCATTGCTGCCGCCCCGTTATTTCTCTTTCCAGCGCCACTTCTGCACTGGAGCACCTCAACATAATGATTGCATATTTGCATTGCTGGCCTTGAAAAAAAAAGCAACTTCTAGCTAGTAATATGGACATAGCATTCATAGCCAGAAGTTAGTTTAGATTCTTTATCTCAGACAAAGGGAGTAATTCACAGCTACGCATACATAGTTCTACTTCACCGAAGGATGGTTTGCTCGGTTCCGAAGATGCAAACTCTGCACGTTTGAATGAGTTATGTATGATCTCTTTGTTTTGACAGGGTGGGAACAGATAGGTTACTTGGCTCTTGCAATCACTAAGTCACAGTAAGATTCCAACTGGCGATCTAATAGCTTGCATTTGCCTTGCGATCTGGTTTAGTGTTAACACTTTTCAGACCTCTTACGAATCCCAATTATCAAAGCATCCAGACCAGACAGCGAACATGCACAAAAGACAGGCCAGTTAGCTTATTGGAACATTCCAAATATACAGGGTTCAAGCAAAACATCTTCTAGCCAAGAAGCCTCGAGCATTGCAAATATACAAGGTTCAAGCAAAGCATCTACTACTTGAGAATTCAGATAATACATCAAGCAAAATCACACACCAGCCATCAGTGCTTCCATCTTTAGCATCACAGCCTGAAAGCTCATTCCACCATCCTCCACATGCCCATCCATTTGACATAGTTGCAGAGGGCTTAAAAGGACGCGAAAACACGACGCAGCGATGAACTGCGGGCTTGGCTGCAGACTGCAGCAAGCTCCATCGCAGCCCAGAGCAAACATATGTACATATATGACACAGCAGACGACAACCTTACTACACAAACCATACACGACTCAACATAGTAGACGGCGAGCAGCAGCAGGCGTACTTAATTACTAGTAGCATCTACGTTATATCACAGTAGTAGAGGTAAGATAGGTAGACAACACTCGACTTCCATCCGCTTCGGTCTCTGATATGTCTCTCCTCCTCCTCTGCCTTGTGTGTGCAGTAGACGCTGGCCTAGGAGCAAAAACGAGCGTGAGCACGCTGGGGGCTCACACTTCAAAGGGAGGAGGGTGACTGGTTGTCCCAGGTGTTGCCCTCTCATATGCGTCGGACGATGATTTCCTTCTGAAGCGACCACCTGGAGAATTCAGTTTCTCAAGATTAAGCAAGGTACCAGTAGTATCTGGAAAAAGAAGATAAATAGGAGCTGGAACACTTGGAACCAATGAGCAATTAATAGAGTGCTGGATGTTTGCCTTATGTACTTACGAAATCAACAATATTAATCTAACAAGTGATACATACGAACTCTGCCACTCACCCTGGTCCCAAAGAGTGAATGGAAATTCATCATGTACCGAAGAGATCAAAGAAACAAGAAACTATGTATCACTTGTTTCAGTTATGGACTTGGAAACTGAAACATTTATATACTTGGATTTAGAAGCAGTATCTCTTGAACTTTTAATTAAAACATCTTGATAAATTATGATAAAAGTACTATAATACTACAGAAGATGACTCTATTTTCTAAATCCATACAGTTATTCCTACCTCTTTGGACACATAAATGAAAAGAAAGCATACTATATGCATGCAAGTTGGCATAAAACGGATTCATTTTGGCTATCAGGTTTTAATTATAGTACGTTTCTTAAAGCACGAGCTCTTTTCAGTAACTGGGTAGTCTGGTGGACGACTTGGTATTGTTATTATCATGTCTATCTATGGATCTTGATTTGTCAAGCATCCCCATCCAAATTATCTACACACAGAGGTTACAATTAGGCCAACTGGCCAATAATAACCAAAGACTTCTTCTCAGACATACAACGAATTAACACGCCTGCACTATATATAAAATATTAGAATACTAGAAAAGGCAGGTCAATACCTATCTTCCGTTTATCCATTTTAATTCTTAAATTAAGAAAAAAATGCGTCATCATTTTCCACTTGAAGGCTACCGCTTACCGCAAAGCCACCATCCAGAGGTGAAGCATGATAGCTACGTTTATCCGATTGTTGCTGCATTTCAAGTCACGCATGATAACTTGTATCCAATAATAAATCAGTAGTAGGGTTAATATCCAGCCATGAATCCATGATGGAGACCAGAGAGCTAGAGCACCCACTCACCGAGGATGCAGAAATGTCCAAAATGCCCATGAGCTCATCTAGACGCTTCCTAACTCCCGGACAAAACCCCGCGCAGCTGACAGCTGCCTACCCATCACGGCATTCCCCATCACGCAAGGGGCGGGTGAAATTACCAAACTACCCCCTACCGTTACCGTACCGAAAAGTTGGGAGAGAGAGAGAGCGTGTGGAATCCCGGGAACTCACCGGCGCCGGCGAACGGCGAGATGGGAGGGGTGGATCCGGCGGGGGAGGCCGGCGGCGTGCTGGCCGCGCTCCTCGGCGACGCCGGGTACCCCGCGGGGCGCTTGATCATGATGCTGCGCGTCACCTTCACCGGCGCCTCCTCCGCCCCGGCCGGCGTCGTCGGCGGGACGGCCACCATCGCCGCGTCCCCTGTCGGGTCTGCACCGAAAAAAACACAACGGAGGAGTCAGATCGAAGGTAAATTCCAAAGGCGGCGGCGGCGTCGGTGGGTGGTGGTGGTGTGTTCACCGTTGATCTTGACGGCGGCGGGGCGGGCGGCGGCGTGCTTGCGGAGGCGGCCGAGGCCGGTGTCGGGGCGGGGCCCCGCGACGGTGTCGTCCCACAGCTTGTCGAGGAGACCCATCACGTCGTCGTCGTCGTCGTCCTCCTCCTCCTCTCCGCCAAAATTACCGAACTGCCACGGTGACCCGAATGGATAGATCCAAAAGAGGCTTCTCGCTTCGGATCTGGGGAGAAGAAGAAGTGAAGTGGCGGGGGAGCCTATTTATAGGAGCGGGCCACGGCCACGGGGAGCGAGGCCCACGTGAGCCCGGTCCATGGACCGCCGTGTGGATGCCAGTGGGGCCCACGGGAGAGGCGAGGTAGGCCAGGTGGCCGCGGGGTGGTGCACCGTGGGTGTCGCGTTGCGGGGCGCGGAAGCGACGCGGCGTGGGGCGAGGTGGGCCAGGGTATGGATAAGATCGGTGGGCGAGGCTGCGCACGTGGGGTGGCCCACCTCACGCGCCTCTCGCAGCGCGCCAGCTGGCGGTCTCGCCGGGTCGGGGCCGTACCGGGCTTCACGTGACACGGCCGGATACACAGCATCGATAATAATACTCACTCCGTATAAAAAAACAAACCCTCATTTCCATGTACAACGTTTGATCGTATTATTTAAAAAAATTATGAAAAAAATTAAAAAAATAAGTTATGTATAAAGTATTAATCATGTTTTATCATCTAACAGCAATGAAAATACTAATTATAAAAAAATTTCATATAAGACAGACGGTCAAACGTTGGCACGGAAATCCAGAGTTTTTCTTTTTTTTTTTGGACGGAGGGAGTAGCTTAGACTACTCCCTCAGTTGGAAAATATAACAATCTAGGTTGGAGGGAAAATATAACAATCTAGGTTGAGATAAGATCATCCTAGAATATCACACTCCTAGAATGAATCTCATATGCAAGAACTAAAAATATGTTGGTTTTACACGAGAGTTAGCTTTACACGTGCTTCAAAACAAATACTAACATATAAATTAAATTCGAGAAGAAGAAAACTTATAGGTAATTTTATATAACAAGTATTTATTGTGCGTCGATAATAGAGGAAGTAGTGAGGGTGTGTTTAGTTCCACGCTAAAATTAAAAGTTTGAAGAAAAATGTTGAAAGTTTACGTGTGTAGAAAAGTTTTGATGTGATGAAAAATTGAAAGTTTGAAGAAAAAGTTAGAAACTAAGGCCCTGTTTCTTTCAGCTTAGGATTATTATAATCCAGATTATTGGGAGTAAGCTGAAAGAAACATACAACTTATTAAAGTAGCTTATTATAATCTGGAGCCTAGCTTATTATAATCTGATAAGCTCATTTAGGTAAGCTTTTTTCCAGATTATTGTGTGAAAAATTACCCACCATGCCACCCTACTCCCTCTTTAGACTTGCAAACCCAATAATTTAAGCTCTAATAATCTAGAAAAGAAACAACTAACCGCTTATTCTATTACATATTATAACAATCTAGCTTAACAACTAACCGCTTATTCTATTACATATTATAACAATCTAGCTTATAGTAATCTTGACTCTTAATCTAGATTATAATAATTCTAAGATGAAAGAAATAGGGCCTAAGCCGATCCTAAACTTGCTCTTAAGCAACCGGCGGTGGCGTACGCGAGCGGCAACGACGGGCAAGGCTGCCATGTGGGTTCCCAGATTATTGGGGCCCGAGGCTTCAGTGTGGCTGCCTGTAGCTTTGCGGTATAAAAACTTGTCTCCGTTCTCTTGGCTGCTCTGCGGATGACGACGACGACGTGGACTGTTGGCACTGGGAGGGCTAAGGGGGTGTTTGGGAAACATAAGTATCTAGTTTAGCCCCTCTCTCCCAAACACCCTCTAAAATAACTTTGCCATACAAATCTTGAACGGTAGTACTCCATCCATTCCATCCATTTCATAATATAGGACACAACCAATTTTTTAATATTTTATAATATAAGGCATGCATATATGTAGGCAATTAACTATGACCCCTTCTTCGTTAAATTATTACTTTTTTAAATCCTCCACTCACATGTTCTCTAATTCTATTGAATGTATGTATTGTATTTATTAGAATGATCCAAACTACAAGACGATAATAATTATTTTCTTTGTATTTGGGTTAGGGGTGGTTATGCCTTATATTTTGGAATGGAGAGAGTAATAAAAATCTTGAACTGGGAGTGTATAGCTACATTTTTCACTGTGTGGATGTGGAATAGTACACGATACCGATAAAAGATTATTTATTATATAATTTAAAATCTATTTTAATTTAAAACTACAATGTGTCCAACTAAATTACTGTAACTTTAAATATTATTTTGGCTGGTGTTATGTTTGCTACTAAATTGTGCCAGCAACATATATATATATATATATATATATATATATATATATATATATATATATATATATATATATATATATAAGTAGTAAAAGAATTGGTGTGGTCAAAGCTTAACATTTTGGTATTGATGATATTTTAACTAGGTGATTCACTGTGCTTTACTGCGAAAATACTAAGTATTTTTTAATATGTTTTTTCAATAATCGAGCAAAGAGTAAAAATCATATTAGTTGTTAACGACAAATGAAATTGATTTATGAAACTATGTTCAAAGAGAAATAAATTTAGTAGACTTTACGGGAGATTATGGATGAAATATGATATCCCACTCTTTGATTATATGGAACAAATAAATTATGTTAAGTATTATAAAAATCATTCGTATTTATGTTGAAAATATTATGAAAATAATATGAAGGGTGATTATTTGATATGTTTACATATTGATTTGTAAAATTCAATGAATTGCATATGATGTTGCATGCATGAGCTTTGTTTGTAATTTTTGTTGGAGGATGATGAGGTGACATATTTGCATGTTGAGTTTTTTTTCAAGACTTAGTGGGTTACAACTATATACAAAGTATTTTATGTTGAAAATATTGTAAAAATAATATAAATGGTGATTATTTGATATGCTAACATATTGATTTGTAGAACTCAATTAATTGTAGATGATGCTGCATGCATGAGTTTTGTGTAATTAGTGCTAGTGGATGATGAAGTGACATGCTTGTATGTTGAGTTTTAGACTTGGTGGATTACAACTATATAGAAAGTATATTTATGTTGAAAATATTGTGAAAATAATATGAAGGGTGATTATTTTATATTCTTCCGTGTTGATTTATATAATTCAATGAATTGTAGATGATGTTCTATGCATGAGCTTTGTTTATAATTATTGTTAGTGGATGATAAAGTGACATGTTTGCATGTTGAGCTTTCGACTTACTGGGTTACAACTTTATGTAGAAAGTACTATATGATACCCCCACGCTTTGCAGCGGAATTGATGGATGGATATATTTGAAATTATTGTACAAATGATGAATGTTAAAAATGTTATGAAAATAATATGGGAGAAGATAATGAGTCATACTTGTATGACACTTAAGATGCTAATTAGTAGTGGGTGATGAAATGACATACTTGTATGTTGAGTTTTAGTTTCTAATAGGTGTTAGTGGGTGCCAACTACTCCCATCCGTTTCTAAATATTTGACGCCGTTGAATTTTTTAAATATGTTTGACCATTTGTCTTATTCAAAAAATTTAAATAATTATTAATTCTTTTCCTATCATATGATTTATTGCTAAATATACTTCTACGTATACATATAGTTTTACATATTTCACAAAAGTTTTTAATAAGACGAACGGTCAAACATGTGTTAAAAAGTTAACACGGTGTCAAATATTTAGAAATGGAGGGAGTATATATAAAGAATAGAAGATTGGGTATTAAAGTAAATAAACTTTAAACTTTGTCACATCCTAAATTTTAAGTATTTCAGAGAAATGTAAATAGAGAGCGATAGTTATGGAAATTTCTAACCTAAAACAAACTGCGTCACGTGGGAAATTGTGGTTGCGAATCAAACAAATATTCAATGCCATGTTGGAATAGTGACTAGCAGCGGTACTAGATTTTTCTTCGTCGGGAGTAATCCAAATGATTGATACAGGCAAGAGGATGTGTGTCCTTTCATGTTTCCGAGAGAAAAAAGAAAAGGAAAAACTCCTTTTCTTCAAGCACAAGGATTTTAGAATTTCGAAACCACCGAAGGAACCAAAACCACCTTAGGAAACCAGGAATGCTTTATGTCACAAAGAGACAAAACAGGCCTCAGCCAGAGCACCATTATACCCTACTTCCTCCATATTAAGTCCCTGTTTATCCAACTCAAAACATTACTATCTCCGTACCAAAATAAGTGCAGCCATAGATATCCGTGTTTAGCGTTTTGACCGTTCGTCTTATTTGAAAAATTTATGAAAAAATTAAAAAAAATAGTCACACATAAAGTACTACCCATGTTTTATCATGTAATAACAATAAAAATACTAATTATACATTTTTTTTAAATAAGATGAACGGTCAAACAGACATAAACAGTGCTAAAACTGCACTTATTTTGGGACGGAGGGAGTACATCCTATCACATCGAATGTTTTACATCCTGTCACATTGAATATTTGAATACATGTATGAAGTATTAAATACAGGTTAAAAAATAACTAATTGCACATATTACGACTAATTTGCAAGACAAATCTTTTAGTAAGCCTAATTACTTCATGATTTGACAATATGTGCTACAGTAAACATTTGCTAATGATAGATTATTAGGCTTAATAAATTTGTCTCGTGGTTTACTGACGGATTATGTAATTAGTTTTTTATTAGTGCCCGAATACTCCATGTGACACCCTATATAATAACCGATGTGACACACCAAAATTTTACACCCATGGATCTAAACACCCCCTAAAAATATAAATCTAAAACTGAATGTACACATCCTAGTACAACGAATCTGAACAGAGACATGTCCAGATTCATTATGTTGAAAATATAGTCATATATCAGCATATTTTAATCCAAATTATTAAGACAATAATTATGGCATAAACAATGTGAGGTGATCTAGTGATAAAATTAAACATAACCAGGAGCATACTTAAGATAGAATAAGCATCATCATCATGTAGAGAACGCAATAGTATTGCGACTAACAGAAGTAACAAAAACAAAGATAGCGGTAGAAAGTTATACCCTGTGAAAGTCCCTCCGCTGGATTGTAAGGCAGAACTGCCTCCGTTGGTGTTGTCGATCGGTGCGCCAGCTTCAGCTCCCGGTGCGCCATCTCC